TGTTTGCCAAGAACACATCTAATTTGGTCTTTACCTGAAACATTGAAGATCGTTTAACTGTAAAGATAAGATCACTGGAGTCCGTGCTATCTCCCCTGAAGACTAGCCATCTATCATGTGCAGTCGTTACCTGCATCAATAAACACGAGGGAAAGAAATGAATAATGGTGAAAATATGAGCTGTTTTATACTATAAAGGCATGCCGTTTGATCTAACAAACATGGAAACTTGACGTTTAGGACTAGCTAAACCTTGCGTCTGAATGTGATAATGGGATTCCCAGCGGCATCTAGCAAAATTCGACCGTCGTGAATGGTTTGGAAAACTCCTTTAACTTGGAAAAGGATATTGCCAGAGATGTCTGTAACCACAAAGTTGCCATTAGTGATGGTCCAAACCTTTCGGGCAACTGCAAGATCAACGGGGTAAGGAGCACAGAACTGAGGGCCGATAATGGATACGAGGTTAGCTGATGGTGCGCTGGAACTAGGGTGTGCCATTGGATTGGGAGGGCGATGAATCGATGGAAATTCGTCTCTTCTGATATTTGGTAGCAGCTAGCACATTCTTAGATGAGGCGCGCTGCATATAAAAAAGAATAAATTAAGGCCTCTCGTTCGCGGAAAGTTGGTGGCTCTATTTATTATGAAACGACAACTCTTTAGAGAATGAGTCAGAAAAAGTTTTAAAGTCGCAAATGGCAAACTTCTGCTAAACTTCCTTCTGCAACTTGTTTTTGAATTGAATTAGTCTTCCCGTATGTACTAACTTTCAAGCTGTCAAATCAGCCAACATAAAAGGAAAAAAAAGTCAAAGAGTTCATCTATCTCAACGGGAAGCGTCTTCACAATCCTCTTACCACGAAAATAAACCATGTATTTTTTTGGTATTAATAACACGATAATCTATTTTATTGTCTCAAACAATGAAATTTTATTGAAGAAAATATCCCCTCAATAACATAATCTCTAAAACGGTGGGAATATTGATTTCAGATGACAACATAAACGTGAGAGCTTTACAAACCAAAGAAACCAGTATATATAAAAACAAATCGACAGGTGACCATATTATAATACATTAGATTAGAAAAGATAGAATTTTCTCATTGGTCAAAAACCATTTTGGGTGTTCATACCCTCATTTTAATGTTCCAATAATCAGGGTCAGCAAATAATTCACGTAACACAACAGATTCCAAATCGGAGGTAAAGACCTTTACAGCTAGATGAATTTATTGATAGGTCAACAACAAAAACTAAATGGGCCAAGTAGAAAATAATCAAGAAAGATTAAGGTCTCTTAAAACTAGAATTGTAAAACTAATCATATCTCTTCCTTTAAGAATTTTTTCAATGAATTTAGTGATATAGCTCAAGAACAAAGACTAAATAGAATAAATGGTCAAGAACATAAACATTACTTCATTCCAACACCAAAGAACAAAGATGAGAATAATACATATAGAGTAAGCTAAAAGAACAATTAACACATAGTTTATTATTGTTAAGGTGGACAATATGTTGAAAATTGAGGAAAATTTAAAGGTAAGGAAAGCCCAAAAGACAGAATCAATGATCACAATTAATCATTAAAACCCATTTAAAAAATATTGTTTTATTATTATCAATTAAAAGAAACATTTGACAAATAGTTTTATTATAAATTAATTAAACAAATAAACATTATCAATTTTTTCCATCAGCAGCCAAAGCGGACTGCAAAGAAAGAAGGAAGGCTTCACTTGCTCCAAGCCCCTTAAGAAGTTGAGGGCAAGAGCCCAAAAAGATGAAAAAAGCCCAACCTGGAACTAGTTCAAGAATCTGGGCGCCAAAAAGTTATTACCTAGTTCAAGTTTGTTCCCAGTGCGTTAATGGGTAAAAGACCAGAAAATGCTCTGGAAAATTTGGGTGGGAAAACACCCAGAGATTATGAGCAAATGTCCACATTCAACCAAGCCAACAGCACAATCGGCTCAGAGTCAAGACGTTGTGGGTGTTTCCTTCCGATTGCGGTCATGCTCAAACATTTGTCTTTACCAGGTTGCCGTGACAACGCGTGCATTAACCGTCTTTAGTCTTCACTCCTTGACTCGAAGGTCCGAATCAAACATCCTTATCATTCTTTTCCTTTACTTACGTGGTTCTTTTGTGGACTTTGATCTTAATCAATAAGATTGCTTTGCTTGTCCTACTATTGTCTTCCACAAAGTGTTTGATCTTCGACGGTGCTCATGGCATGGGCCCGGAAAAGGTCAAGTTCTCACCGTTGCAAGGAGACCGCGAATGCAGAAATGAAGTAGATGAAGTTGAAAATAATTATTTTTGGTTCAACTAATCAACAGATTTCAGTTTGAATTGAAAGAGCTGAGTCAATTTTCCTTCTAATTGAGTAAACTGTTATTCTCAATTGAAATTGGGCGCTCTTACTGTTAAAGAAATTCCATTTATTTTCCAATGTTTCCAATCCCCTTGGTGTTAATCTTTCCGATTATATTAATATATACTCGCTGCCTGATCTTGAAGATTGCAGCAAAGTTTCTTAAAATTACTTTTTCCCTTCTCACTTATTCCAAGCTTTTCTTACTCTCAATATTTTTATAGCATGGAAGTGGTTGGCGCTGTAGTGGAGGTGATGCTAGCCAAGGTGATTTTACTTGCCACGGAACAGATCAACGTTGCATTGGGTTTCAAGGAGGAGTTAACAAGGCTCCATGACTCACTTACCATCATCCAAGCTGCCTTGCAAGATGCGGACAGAAGGCAAGGAGAAGACAGGGCTGTTAAGCTTTGGCTTGAGAAGCTTAGAGATGTTACTTATGAGGCTGATGACGTACTGGACGAGTTTGCTTATGATTTTCTTCGAAGGAAGGTGCAGATTCAGAACCAAATGATGAAAAAGGTCAGCTACTTTTTTTCTTCTTTCAATTCTATAGCATTCCGTCTCCAGATGGCTAAAAAAATTAGAAAGATTAATATATCCCTCAGCAACATGAACAACCAAGCCAATCTGTTTGGACTCCAGAGGAGAGTTACTGATATGATTGTTCTACCTAGAGGAAACCAAGTGACCCACTCCTTTCTTGGAGATTCATCACAAGTTATTGGAAGGGAAGATGATGTCTCAAAAGTAGTCGACTTGTTGATCCACTCAACTTGTCTGCAACCCCTCCCTGTTGTATCTATAATTGGCATGCCAGGTCTTGGAAAAACTACATTAGCAAAATTAGTGTGCAAACATGAGCAAGTAAAAAAATATTTTAGTAAAATAATCTGGGTGTGTGTATCTGATGATTTTAATGTTGAAAGGATTTTACTCGAGATGCTGGAATCTCTTACCCAAAACTCGTGTGCAATAAAAAATAAAGATACTCTACTCAGAAAAATGCATGGAGAACTGGCAGGGGATAATTATCTTCTTATACTTGATGACGTATGGAATGAGGATATAGAGAAGTGGGAGGACCTAAGAAATTGCTTGATGGGAGTATCAGGAAATGTAGAGAGTAGAATTGTTGTGACAACCCGTAAGGAGAATGTAGCATTGGCGATGGGAACACTTCCTGAATATATGCATCATCCAGACAAACTTGTAGATGATGAGTGTTGGTCAATAATCAAAGGAAGAGCATTTGGACACTCTTCCATACCTCCAGAATTGGAGGTTATTGGAAAGGATATTGCTAAAAAGTGTGGAGGTCTGCCATTGGTTGCAAGGGTTATAGGTGCAACATTGAGCAATAAAAGTGACAAAGATGAGTGGCTGTCAATTAAAGATAATCCTGTTTGGGGTCCCCTAGAAATGGATAATGGCATTTTACGTGTACTTAAATTGAGTTTTGATTGCTTACCTTCTTCATCCTTGAAGCAGTGTTTTGCATATTGCTCAATTTTTCCTAAGGATTTTGAAATTAAAAAGGAACACTTAATTCAGCTTTGGATGGCTGAAGGGTTTCTTCAATCACCTGATGGAAGTTACACAGAGATGGAAATTATGGGTAACAGGTTCTTTAATGAATTGTTATTAAGTTCTTTGTTTCAAGATGTGGAAAAGGATGTGCATGGGAATATTAAAACTTGCAAGATGCATGATGTAATTCATGATCTTGCCCTGTTTGTTTCAAAAGCTGAAACCTTGGTCTTAGATGAGACTGGTCCCATGAGCGACAGTTCTCATATTCGACGTCTGAGCATCATTTCTACCGGGATAGAGGTCCCAACTATTTCAGAAGATGTTGCTACAAAGTTGCGGTCTTTGTTTTCAAACGCTGATGTTCTGCACAGTATGTCAAATGAACCTAAAAGCTTACGTGTCCTAAGTTTTCGAGATGCTAAGGTTGAGAAATTGCCAGCTTTTCTTGGCAAATTGAAGCATTTAAGATACCTTGACATCTCAAGAACTAAAATAAAAAAATTACCAAAATCTTTCACTCAGCTCTACAATTTGCAGACTTTAAGCATTATGGACTGCTGTCTTGAGAGGCTTCCCAAAGGAATAACAAAACTAGTTAGCTTGAGACATATTTATTTTGATAAAGAAAAGCTTATGCCAGTTAAAGTTGGGTGCTTACCCTGTCTTCAAACATTGCCATTCTTTTTTGTGAGCATCGAAAGTGGACGCAAAGTTGAAGAACTTGGGTTCCTGAGCCAACTTAGAGGAGAATTAGAAATATACAACCTTGAACATGTAAAAGACAAAGCAGAAGCCATTAGAGCAAAGTTGCTAGAGAAGACTGAAGTTCATAAGTTGGAATTTTTGTGGAGCTACAGAAGGGAAGGCTACAGTAATGACAAGGAAGTATTGGAGGGCCTCAAGCCTAGCTCAAATTTGAAAAGCTTAAAGATTGTCAACTACTGGGGAGACAAGTTGCCTTCATGGATGCTTATGAGTGTCCATGATTTTGGATATTCGTTTCTCGATAATCTGGTTTTCTTGAAATTGATAAAATGCACGGAATGCACAAATATTTCGGGTCTTGGGCACTTGTGCAATCTGCAAATTCTTGAAATAGATGGAATGGAGAAGGTGAAATGTATATATAAGAATTTATGTAACAGCAACATAGAAAGCAGTGAGACTACCACTCTATTCCCATCATTGAGAAGATTCAGCTTGGAGAATATGAATAGCCTGGAGGAATGGGTACAAGGTGTGGGTCCAGGTATAGAAAGAAGTGAAGATGTGGTCTTGTTTCCTCAACTAGAAGAGTTGATTGTTTTGAGCTGTCCTAAGTTGAAGAGTGTTCCAACACATAGAGGGTTTACGTTTCTTCAGGCATTTCATGTTTGCTACTGTGATGAATTGAGTAGTTTAAGGGATGGACTATCTGTCTCCACTTTTGTGAAGGAATTAAGATTGTGGAATTGTTGTAGTCTTATCTCCGTTCCCAAAGATATAGGGGAATTGCGATCTCTTATTTATTTAGAAATATCTTTTTGTCCAAAATTGACAAGCATTCCAGAGGAGATCTTTGGTTACCTCACCAGTCTGAAGGAATTGAGAATTGGCTTTTTCTCAGAAGAGCTAGAGGAATTCCCAGGTCTCAGTTCGATCCACCTTCTCTGTGCATCCCTTGAATGTCTGTTCTTATTTGGATGGAAAAAGCTAAAGTCCCTGCCACCTCAACTACAACACCTTGTTGCCCTTAAATCTTTTGTAATATGTTTCTTTGATGGTATGGAATCCTTGCCAGAGTGGCTGGGAAACTTCTCATCACTTCAGAAACTTCGAATTGAAAAATGTAACAGTCTGATGCATCTGCCCTCTATGGAAGCCATGCAATGCCTCTCCAAATTACAGAGACTTGAAATTAATAGGTGTCCAATATTGGCAGAAAGATGCATCGAGGAGAGCAGGCCTGAATGGCACAAGATTGCTCACATTCCATACATTCAAATTAATTGGCAACACATTAAACATTGACCAGCTTCGATTAAGTGCTAATGTTAATGGTAAATTCTCTGAGTAACCTTTATTTTCTTCTCTAATTCTTTGATTCATTCTTGTTTCACCAATCAGTTGATTAATTAATTGTTTGGTTATGAGTATCTTCTTTATTTTTCTCTCCCTCTCTATCTGTTTAGCATATCTCAATTCCTTCTCAAATTTATCAGTTGAAAATTCCCTTGAAGTTATCTATTGCTATCAACATCAACTGTTGCATGGATTTTTCATTCTGTCGGTTAGTTTGCAATTGCAGCTGTCAATGTCATACATCTAAACAGAGTTGATAATAAATAAGAAATGCTTATGTTTTTAATGAAATATCTTCTAATTAGCTGTACTCAAATTTCCTTTTACATTTTCTCCCTTTTTTCCCAAAAAGTCTACAATGGATTAGTTAGCAGAAGGAAAGTTTATTTTCTTAATTTTCTGAGAGCTGATCTGGGAACCATGATTGCTACTTTCTTTGCATAGAAAATGATAGAATTTGGATCATACTTAAATGCTATAACATGACCTCAATGACATTTGTGCTTAACACTGCAGGGAGGATGACAGAGAGTTTAACGGGCCATGGAGGCTTCAGATTGCTGTACAAGCTCTATTTGATGACGTGTGCTTGAATGAAATAAGTATTTGTTGAGTATGAGCTCTATTTAATACCTTTATGCGTCTTTTGATCAGTGGGAAGCTTGGCCAGAGTGCTCAAGGGAATCTATTTGCGGAGTTGGAAGCTTTTCCTGAATGCTGAAGAAACCTCTCATCTCTTCAAGAACTTGAAGTTAGACTTTTTAAGAACCTAATGCATCTGCCTTTAGCAAAGGGCTAAAATCTTTCCTCAAATAAAAGAAGCTTGAACTTGTATGGGAATCCTCAAATAAAATAAAGATGTACCAAGGAGAGTGGTCTAATATTTCTTTCGGTGTAGACATTGTAAACACTTCTGATGAGACTATCCAGTCCAAAGCTGTTTGAGATTTTGAATAATTGTCAATATTTGAGAGAGTTTATTTTATTATAAAGGGCTTGGAATGACATTATCATGTCTAGTTCTGAAATCTACATTCAAATAAGGTTATTTTCTAATGCTAAAAGGCCCTTCCCGCATTTTGTGTTTACACTATTTTCTAAATTTTGACCGTTCTTCTTTAATTACAGAGTTATGCACTGCTTGTCAATCAGCTCTTATTTTATAGTTGAACACACATATGATACATGCTTCTAATTACTTTGCTGCTTTTATGATTGTTTGGGGGTTTTATCAAGGTATTACTAGCATTCTCAATTTTTTGATATGATAATTTTTATTTTCAAAACGTAGGAATGAATCTCACTAATGATATCATTCAAACTAGTGACATGAATTCTTTTTTTATTTGGATTTGAATAGCTACATGATACGGGTGCTGCTATCTACATCAAATTTCACAGCATTGTTTCCTTCATAAGTTTGTTGACTAATTCAATTATATAGCTAAAAATCCTAGCTAATTAAATGACCAGCAATGCATGTAGGGGATTTTGGTTGGATTTCTTCGGGACGTGAGTAATGGAGTTGCGAGTAATGTTCTTGGTAGTTTCTTGAATATTAGAGCACTTCTGTTATATATCAGTCACCCGTCTGCCTTTAGTCTATTCAGTACATACGTGGTTTTCAACCGTCAATCATTTTAAAAGACTACTCAGACAAGATATTTTGTTTGCAGTCGCATTTTCATAAACGTCTTGGTTGCTGGGAGAAGCATGCGCTCTGGAACTTGTTACCCACTATCGAGGCCAGGCCAGTGTTGCCTTTGAGCATCAGCGTCACCTGTTGTATTGGACCACTGTTTTGTTAGTTATACTTACAAAAAATCAATCCATTAGTTATTGAAATTTGCAGTTCTTAGCTTCCTTTATTAGTCCATGAACTTGATACAGAGTAGAGGGTGCGTTTTTTGTTCCTTTTCAGCGTGGATACCTGTTTCAATAAACAGATGACGGATCTCGAGGTACAGCATTTAGCTTGATCATAGGTCTGATCATAACCAAAGCAGTTCGCTATTGTGTGTGTCGGTGCCCTGCTTTTTCTAGTACTTGCTAGTTTTTAAGGCCATGCTAGCCTACTACCCGGGCTTAGCTAAGTGGTTTTTACTCCTCCCCTTGGCCTTGTCGTTGGGGTTGCTGGTGGTGATCTTGTATGTAAATTCGGGGGTATAAGATAAACTGATTTCTTTCACCGTAAACAACACTGCTTTCTCTGTTCACAGGGTGAAAGCGGAAGGCTGACTGACTCTAGTCTTTAATAGCGTTCCGTTCGGGGTTGATGACGATATAAAGACTAAACTCCATGGTCAGTCCACCTTACCTTAGTACGCACGCCACGCAGACGCAGTAGCTGTCAATGTCATAAAGTGATGCATACGTGTCAACTTTACATTCTAGAGCAACAACTTCAATAGGAAATTAACAACTCATTTCACCTGAAACGCTGCGTTTTGTTCGTTTCTTTTTTATATCGACCCTGGCAGTAGCATATTTTTTTCTCAGTTAAATGAAATTTATATTAAAATCACTAAAATTACTGTGTAAAAATCAGTCCATATATGGAGATCCATTGCAAGTCTAGTGATATTCAATGCCATTAAACAAAAGATTCACATATTGGTACTTAGTACTTTTAGCAACTCCAAATTTCGGTAAAGAATTTGTAAAATAATTACCTTCTCATAGAATATGGGTAAAGGATATCATGTCTATTGAAAGAACAAATGCATCAATCTCGTTAAATAAATATCGCTTGTTTCAAGGTCTTATATCAATGTTGGTTACTCGTGATAGAGTATTTTCATAATCAGATTCAATAATTAACTTAAAACTTACAAAAGAAGAGCGAGAGAAAAAACGTAATGCAAGAAGAATGATTACAAACTTTGTAAAGTTAGAGTCTTGGATGCCAAGTGAGTCAAAGAAACACCTACCACATAATCATCAGAGTTACGTAAGACTCCAATGCATTTGGTTTGGTCCAGTTTACCTCTTACTGAGTCATTCACATTAAATTTAAAATTGACACTAACATATAAATATTTGGTGTACCTCTACAATTTATATTCACTTAAAAAGTAAAAGTTATAAAATAAAGAATAAAATATGTTACTATTTAAATTTTTATATCATATAAAAAAGTAAATATTCAATTTAAACGGAGCAAGTCGTAAATATTAAAAGATCAATAGTTCAGTTAGTGCTTTAGACTTACGTATTCTATGGTTTAATGTTTCTTTTGTCTTTGCATATTTTCTATAATACTTAATAAGGTTTGAAGAACAAGAGAAATAGAGTGAAAAGGCATAATTTGTACTTGTGTATGAGTATACATAGTGCATGCTTTATAAGTAGCAAGTATGACTAGTATGAAATGCAAACATCTGATATGCAGATTAGTATTTGAATTACTTTAACCTTAGGCTTGTCACTTATCATTATCATTAGCATTATCCGAATCAGATTTGAATATGATATTTCTTTCGATATGCTTCCGTAGAATAGTGGAACCATTTGTGACACTTATCTTGATTTAAGAGAAGTGAAATCTGGCTCGAGATAAAGGTTTGGTAAGAGCATCTGCAAATTGATGAACCGTAGAGATGTGATTGACCTAAAACAAACCTTGGTTAACTCTTTCTTCCACAAAAAAAAAAGAAAAAAGAACCAACATCTAGTGCTAGGTGCTTTATCATAGTGTGAAATACTACACGTATATACACTTTATTTTTAATTCAATATTAAACATAACAATTTCGTTCCAATTATTTTTTTAATAGATTGAACTGATATTAATAAATTTTGAAAATATAAAGACTTAATTTATGCAAATGATATTGGAAGGAATAAGTTTAATATTTTGATAGAGTAGATGGATTAAATTCAAATTTTGACTGTGTTCTTACTTGTTTTAAACGTTCAGCTTGAAGTTGTAAGGAAGTCTCCCATGCCACCTACCGCTTCCTTTTTGACCTTAGGTCATGCAGATTGCAGTAGACTTGGTTCTTGATTTTGATTCCGCTTTGTGGAAAGGAAATTGAGTATTCTTTTTCCCTACTTTATTTTCTAGTGTAGTTGGTCCCTGTAATGCTCTCACAAGCTAGATTGTTAGTGTACCTCTCCGTTTCCTTCATTCATTTCAATCTTCTTCTATGGTTTATTGCACTTAAATTTCATCTCTAATTTTCTCTAGTAATGACCTATTGTTACATGCAAATGGCTCCAAACACAAGATTTGGCTGCAAGTTATTGCTCCGTACTTTGGTGTGGTTATTGTTGTGTACAGTAAGTATCTGCTCAATGGAAGATAACAATTCAAATATCAGCTGCTTGAAATCTATAAAAGATTCCTTGGATGACCCTCATGACTCCTTCAAATCTTCATGGAACTTCAACAACAATACAGAAGGTTTCATCTGTGATTTTGTTGGGGTCGAATGCTGGCACGTTTACTCGAATGAAGTGCTAAAGATTCGTCTAACCAACATGGGCTTGAAGGGCGAGTTTCCTCGGGGCGTTGCAGACTGCAAGACCTTAATGGGGTTAGACCTTTCAAATAACGAGCTTTCAGGACCCATTCCATCTAATATTTCAAGAATCTTCCAATATGGAACTGAACTTGATCTATCCTCCAACAGATTTTCTGGTAACATACCGAAACAAATATCAAATTTAAGTTTTTTAAATGCACTGAAACTCGACAACAATCAGCTAACTGGCCTCATTCCGCCAGAACTTGCTCTACTAGATCGGATCAAGCAATTTAGTGTTGCTAACAATAAATTATACGGCCCGGTGCCTAACTTTGGTCCTTCTTTTAACGAGAGTTCCTATGCGGGTAATCCGGGGCTTTGTGGTTTTCCTTTAGAGCCCTGCATTAATTTTTTCAGTGATTCCTTCAAGAGGGGTTTTATAATAGGTTATATGGTATCTGTATTTTCAGTTATAAGCATTTTTATGTCCTACTGTGTCCCCTGGGTACACAGGAATGAGAGGAATAAAATGCTGCGGCAATTCATGTTGAATCTGATATTGAGTAGGAGAAACAAGGGAGAACATTCTCATCAGACAAGCAAATTGGTACATCTGGACCTCTTACATGAAGCCAGCAGAGAGGTACTGCCCACCCCACTCTCCCCGTCCCCTTTTCTATTTCGTGCAATATTTGTAGGAGTGAGTGTTCTGCAAACCGTGGCATAGCATGTTGATGTTGATTCCTTGATTTATTCAATCGCATCTAAATTTAAAATGATAAATGCGGGTATTAATGGAATTTGTATTTATCCAGACTTCTATGCTGGTGCAACTGGTTTCAAGAATGAGCTATGCGGATCTCACTGAGGCAACAAACAATTTTAGTGCAGATAACATCATTGGAATTGGACAAATGGGGACAACCTACAAGGCAACCTTGCCCAATGGTTGGCTTCTCGCAATTAAGAGGTTGTTTGACACCCAAAAGTTCGATGAGCATTTCATAACCGAATTGAAGACACTGGGTAGATTGAGACATGACAACCTAGTTCCACTCCTTGGATTCTGCATAGAGTCAAAGGAAAAGCTTCTGGTTTACAGATATATGTCGAATGGCAACCTTTATGATTGGCTACATCCTGCAGAAGGTGAGGCAAAATTCATTGATTGGCCATTGAGGGTGAATATAGCACATGGGATAGCAAGAGGTCTGGTTTGGCTCCACCAGAACTGCAATTTCCGTGTAGTCCATCTTGACATCTGTTCAAAGTGTATCTTACTTGATCAGAATTTCGAACCCAAGATATCAAATTTTGGAGAGGCAATGCTAATAAAATCAAATAATACTGACTGGAGCAGTAGCTTCTACAAGGATACTGAGCTTTGGGAATTGAGTTTTGTTAAGGAGGATGTTTATCACTTTGGAATTGTGCTCCTTGAACTGATCACAGGGGCGGAACCAAGTAAATTGACCAATTCTTCAGACACTGGAGATGAAACTCTTAGAAATGGGTCGATTGATCTCTCAACAAGTACTAATTTCTATGATGTCATCGATAAATCTCTGATCGGGCGAGGCTTTGATACTGAAATCTTTAAGATTTTTAGCGTTGCATGTCACTGTGTTCAGCCCAATCGTGATGGAAGGCCAACAATGCTCGAAGTCCACAAAACAATAGGGGCTATATGGTCTCAAAACCGCCCCTGACAGGTACAATTTAATAAATTCAAAAACTTAAAATGAAATATTTAAATAAATTTTTTTATTAAAATTAAAAAAATTATTAAAAAAATCATAGTTCCTTCAACCTAATTTTTACTCTAGCAAAATTTCTTGTTAATTCTTTTTTCCAATGTTCTTTATCTCCTTTTATTTGTTCTTAAATGCTTTTATCAATTGTTTTATTTTTCAATAATCTCATTTTCACGCGTCTTCCCATTTGCCAACTTTTGAATATAGAATGTAGCAAAAAATTTTTTAAAAATTCATCTTTAGGAAAATCTAAATCATTTACTTTATTTGGACTATAAATTTGTGTCAATATTTGCCATTTGACTTGGATCATAAATATTTTTAGGAATGGAATCATTTAAATTAATAACTTGATTCTCTTCATCATTATTTTTATGATCATTTTGAATCTCTTCATGATTTCAATGATAATTTTGAATCTCTTCATTAACTTCTTATTTTAGTATTTCATCATCATCTAACTCTCTAATATTATTAATCTGTTCATTTAAGAGACATTTATTAATAATTTTTTATTCATTATTGTTATTACTTATAAAAAATTTATCAAGTGCTCTTTTTTAGATTGTATTAAACTTTCAATTCTTCTATTTTTTTTAAGCTTTGAATAACCAGATTCATTTTTTTGATTTAACATATTTATTTAGCTATTATAATTATCTTATATTTTTTAAATAGCTAATATAAAATTAACAATTAAAATTTTTAATTCAAATAAATCAACTATCGTATAAAATAAAGATAATATAACAATATATTATAAACTTTAAATTAAAGTAAGAAAGTCCTAATTGTTGAATGTTTATTGCAAATCGTAAATGAGGCTCACGGCTTTATGAAGATGATAATATAACATACTTCTTGTATATTCTTTAAAAAAAATTGAAGTTAAAAGGAAGAAAGAGCAAATGAAAAAAAAAATCAAAAGTAGATATATATTATACATTGAAGAAAAATAATTGATTTTATATATAGAAAAAAAATAGCAGTTGAAAATCATTAAATACGTTAATTGGAAATATGAGATATAAGCAAAAAAAAAAAAGTTGTTGATGATGATTAAATATATATGACTGTTAATTGATTAGAAATAATTGAATATAATTGAAAATTAATAACATTTTAAAAATTAAAAAGTGATAGAAAGTTGAAATTTATTAGACACATAATTAAAAAAATAAAAAAATAAATAATTTTTTATTAATTATTATAAAATTACAAGACCTCCCTAAATTTTATGCCTCTCCAAAATGGGGGCCTAAAGCCCTTGCTTTGGTGGCTTCACCCAAGGACCAGCCCTGATGGCTGATAAATGCAATGAAGTTGAAATAACAGAGATCCAGTGTCAATGATTTGATCTCTAAGCTGGATAAATATAACCGTGTAGTGATGTTAGAGGTTGTGTTTCCTTCAGTTGAGCATGAGATGTAGAGCAAGTTCAAAGTTCTAAGAATGATTTGCATGTGAAATAATTGTTTTTCAAAGCATATAAAAGTAAAGGAACTAAATCTCTTACTTAATTAATGCAGCATGCCAAGACAGTTGAGCTGATGGTTTTTCAAGGGCCGAACAGTAAGCAGTTAGATATTGATGAAAATCATAGCAAAGTGCTGTGCTGTTTGATTAATCTGGGTTTCGGCGCTAATTAAGGAGGTAATTTCCAAGTCCATCCGCATTTTATTCAAGCTTTTCTATCTTGTACCGTTTCCTTTGGAAGGTTGACGCATAAAAGTCTTAACCGAAGGCGCATGGAACGGTAGAAATCAAGCATCCGCATCTTCTTTTACCTTTACATGTGTCGTTCATTTATAGACTTTGATATTAATCAATCCGATTTTGGCTTGTTAAATTTCCAAGTCTTGCTGTTGACTTGCACATTTGCTTGACGGTGTTCACTTGGCAAGTTGTGATTGAACGATCAACGAATGCTAGGAGACTCAGAATGTAGGAAATGAAGGGTTCAGAAAGTCACTGTTGCTTGAATTATCAACAAATTTGAATTTGTAATAGAAGAACGGAGTCAAGTTTCTTATTATAATTATTACATTGAAATTGGTGCTCGTATTGTTTACGGAAATCCACTTCTTTTCCACTCTTGCTTTCCTCTTGGTATTTTATTTTTAAAAAATGATTTTATTTGGACAGAGTCGCTGTGCCATATAAAGTCTTTAATATTTGCTAAAGATTTCTGTTGACATAAGATCTTTAGCTTGTGCAGAAGTGGTTATATACAGTTACAACGGGAAAATGCTCACAGATTAAGAGCAATCCCCTCCCCTAGCTGAGCTACAAAACAAAAAGATAGCTCTCTACTCTTTCTTAAAGACATGCATTGTATAAAGAAATCGAAGTTAACAACAAGCATGTGTCTCTAACCCAAAACCCAGAAAGAGCTTGGCTGTTGAACTCAAAGGACACCCCTTTGACAAAGCAAAAACAAAGAACGAAGAATAAAGCTCTAAGGATGCTTCTATTCGAACCCTGCATTAAACTGATGTACCCAACAGATGTACCACTAGACCCAGAGTCCAAGACCAGCATAACGAACACAGCCAACAATTCCTTTTATCAGATAATGCTAGACGAAAAACAAGAGCCTACGTCAGAGCCTTTGACCTTTGGGAGAAAGTAGAGGTAGGAAGTGATCTTCCAGTGAGGAGACACACTAATTCTATCCTTGCACAGATCAAGTAGCATAGTGAAAATATTGCTAAAAAGTACAAAGCCTTGTTCAATTTACATTCAATTGTGTCTGATGTAATTTTTACTAGAATAATGCATTGTGATAGTCCAAAAGAGGCCTAAGATCTTTTGAAATATGAGTTTTATGGTAGTGAGAGACCTAAGCAGATGCAAGCTTTGAATTTGCACAGGTAATTTGAAATCCTTAGAATGGGTGAAGATGAAAGCATTAAGGATTTTTCTAGGAGGTTAATGAAGCTAGTTAATCAACTTAAGTTACTTGGGGAAGAAATGACTGAGAAAAGGACAGTCAACAAAGTATTGGTTAGTCTGCCAGAGAAGTTTGAATCAAAGATATCATCTATTGAATATTCAAAGGGCTTCTTACAACTTCCCTTGACTTGGCTTGTAAGTGTCTTACAAGCACAAGAACAAAAAAGGGCTTTAAGGAGGACGAATTTGTAGATAGTGCTTTAGTTGCTAAGACTAAGAATCTGAAAATTGGGAGTAGTAGTACTAACAAGAATGATTCTGAAAAAAAAATGATAAAAGATAGGAAATTCGGTGATGGTAAGGCTGGGGAACAAGGACACAAGTATCCTCTTTGTCCACATTGTAAAAAGAGGACTCATTCTTCCAAAGTTTGTTGGTACAAGCCTAATGTGAAATGCAAATCTTGTAATCAACTTGGACTTGTTGAAACTGTGTAAGAACAAAGCTTCTCACACTGATGAGAAGGTTGTAGTAGTTGAATATATTAAGGCCTCTGATGTGTTACTGTTCATGGCTAGAGAGACCTATGAATTAATTAGGAAAAGTGTGTGGTTAATTGATAGTGGCTACTCAAACCACATGACTGGAGATGAGAGTCAATTCATTTCTTTTAACAGGAGTTTCAAGGCAAAAATAGAGATAGGAAATGGAGTCTTTTTGAAAATTCTTGGTGTAGGGCCAGTTGTTGTTGAAACTAAGTCAGGTAAAAAATACATTTCTAATGTTTACTTTGTTCCTAAGGATAATCAAAATCTGTTAAGTGTCTGATAGCTCACTAAGAGTCACTATGCTCTTTTCTTCGAGGACAAATATTGTACAATATTTTATTCAAAAAGAAATGAGTTGTTGACAGTTGAAATGAAGAACAAATGCTATCCAATTGATTGAAAACATGCTGGTCATAAGGCCTTTTATAATGCTGTTAATGATTTAGAATTATGGCACAAACGAATGGGCAATGTTAACTATGACTCATTGTAGAGAATGGCTTCATAGGACCTTGTTGAAGGCTTGCCTAAGATTGCAAAGCCTGATCATGTGTGTAGAACATATCAGTTTGGTAAGCAGAGTAGACTTCTATTCCCAAAAAAAAAAAAATGAAAAAGAAAGACTTGGAAAGCAACTCAGAAATTACAGCTCATTCACATAGATTTAGGAGGTCCAATGAAGACTCCATCTCTTGGTGGCAGTGGATACTATCTTATCTTCATTGATGATGTGACCAGGTACTACTGGATTTATTTGTTTGAAACTCTAGTCAGAAGCTTTAAAAAACTTTGTAAAGTTCAGGAGCTTAGTTGAAAACCAAGTAGACTTAACCATTAAAATACTCAGAAGTGATAATGGCAAGGAATTTATTGTAGCAGAGTTTGAAAGATACTTATCTTAGCTTGGTATGGCATATCAACTAATAATTACTTACAACCATTAGTAGAATGGGGTATCTGAGGGGAAAAATAGAACATTTATGGAGATGCCAAGGTATTTGCTGTTCTAGAAGAATTTGCTTAAGTTTTTCTAGGCAGAAGCATTAATACAGTTAATTATTTTTTAAACTTCACTCAAACAAGGTATCTAGCTTACAAGACTCTTTATGAGTGTTGGTTTGGAGACAAACCATCAGTGTTTCCACTGAAAGTTTTTAGGTGCGTTTGTTAGGCAAATATATCAGATGATAAGAGAACAAAGCTCAATGAAAAGAGTCTGATAACTATAGATGTTGGTCATAGTGATGTTTCAAAAGGTTACAAGTGATATAATGTTGAAGTAAAGAAGATTTTTATTAGTAAGGACATTAGGTTCGATGAAAAATCAAGATAGAATTGGGAAAAGTCAATAGTTGAGCTATCTGAAAATCTGAATTTGATAAATGATCAAACTATGAATGAAGCTGATCAAGAAGAAGACATTAAAGATAAGAGTCTTAAAGTGAGAGGCATAAGGTCTTTACAGGGTATATATGCAAGGGTGTAATGTAGCTATCATTGAACCTTCAACCTTCAGCGAAGTTGCAAAAGATAACAAATGGATTCAAGCTATGGAAAAAGAAATGGAAATGATTGAGAAAAATGGAACCTGGTTCTTGGTTGATAAACCATTCGATCAACATATCATTGGGGTGAAATGGATTTACAAGACAAAGCTTAATGCTGATGGATTTGTCAACAAGTACAAAGCAAAGCTTGTAGTAAAAGGATACTCTTAAATTTATGAAATTGACTATTGGGAAACCTTTGCACCAATAGCAAGGCATGACACAATTAGGTTACTTACTGCCATAATAGCTAGAGAAGGGTGGAAAATATGGCATCTCGATGTCAAGTCAGCTTTCCTCAATGGCTATCTTATTGAAGATATCTACGTTTAGCAACTTGAAGACTTTATCTCTCTCGGCACAGAAGGTAAGGTCTGCAACTTGGTTAAAGCTTTATATGGACTAAAACAGGCTCTTAGAGCCTGATATGATTGAATTGATACCTTTCTCACTTCAAAAGGTTTTCAAAGGAGTGTTAATGAACTTACTTTGTATGTTTACAACATGATTTATTTGGTTAAGTTGAATATATCCTTATATGTTGATGATTTGTTGATTATTGGTTCAAATGGGACAGTTTTGAATGAATGCAAGACGAAGTTGATGAGAAATTTGAGATGTCAGACTTGGGAGAAACGCATTACTTCCTTGGATTATAGTTCATTCAAAGTTTAGATTACATTTGCATACATCAAAGCAAATATGCAAATGAGTTACTGAAGAAGTTTCACATGGAGAATAGTAAAGCAGTTGAAACTCCATTAGCTTCAAACTGCAAATTAAGCAAAGAAAATGGAGCTCTTAAAGCTATAAGCTCAGCATACAGAAGCATTATTGGTAGTCTTTTGTATTTATTAGCTTCAAGGCCAAATATCATGTTTTCTACAAGTCTTCTATCTTGATTTATGTAGAAACCATCTTAGAATCATTACTTAGCTACAAAACGAGTATTGAGATACATCAAAGGCACAATTGAGTATAGTTTAGAGTTTGAAAAGGAAAAAGGTGATGAACTGATTGGGCTTATAATACTGATGACTCTAAGAGCACAAATGGTTGCTGGTTTTCATTCAGGAGTGCTGCTTTCTCTTGAAACTCCAAGAAGAGGGAGGTGGTTGCTCAATCCTCAGCAAAGGTAAGAGTATATAGCAACAGCAACAGTTGCTAATTAGGCAATTTGGTTTAAAAAGATTCTCGTTGATTTGGGGTTTGACCAAAAGGGGAACTACTCTACTCATTAATAATCAATCTGCAATTTCGATTGTAAAAAATCCGGTTCATCATGGAGAACCAAACTTATCATAGTTAAATTTCATTCAATTAGGGATGCAATGAAAGATGAAGAAATTGAAGTTATGCATTGTGGAACAGATGAACAACTAGCGAATATATTTACCAAAGGCCTGAGCAAGGAGAAATTCATTTATTTGAGGAACATATTGGGAGTGTGCAAACCAAAACCCAAGGAGGTGTGTTGAAGATCTTGGTTTGGTTCCTCTGTTATGCTTTGCTCTGGTTCATCAATAAAGCCTCACGTCAAAAATCATTTTGGAAAAAATGAAGAAGAAGA